ACTGCTTAACGATGTGCATCTGTACCCGCTGGATGCTCAACACCAACTTGTTACAATACAAGATATCGATAACAAGATAGTAAACTATACACGCAAACTACATAAGTACTTCAAAGGAAGTCTCAAGTTGAGCAGGAAAACGTACAATAAGCAAATAAAAAAGTGCTTGGCGAGTATTAGTCATTTAAACCGCAAGAGAAAAGCAGCGATGAGTATCATAATGGAATGCACTCGTGAAATATATGCGGATATGCAAAAAGAGTATCCTGAGGAATTGAAAAGCAGTATTGGTGATCCATCGAAGAATCCTAGTGTTTTTAAAACCAGGGTGTCGAAAGAGGATGTTAACAATAATATAAAACAACCAAAGTACTGTTTGTGCCGGGCTAGTGCCTTTGGTGATATGATACGCTGCGATGATCCGGGATGTAAAGTGTTATGGTACCATTTTGAATGTGTAGGGCTGGTGCATACACCTAAAGGTAATTGGTATTGTAGCACGTGCAAAAAAAATAGAACGAAAAGAATGTAGATGAGCATGTCTGAGCTGATAATTCGTTTCTTATTTTTACCCTAAGTATTCTTGTAATTAAATTTATTATGTCTACAGTTTCGTGAAAGTATATATTGTAGACCCGTTTGAACCGTATATATTTATTTGGTTCGTATACATATGTAAGTAGGATTATATATGATCTCTATGCTCTATTTATAAAGAATTGTAAGTATTTACCATTACTTATAGTAATTTTATATTACTTGCTCTAACGCCACCTCGTTTAATGAGGAAATAGTATTCGTGGTCAATGAATAATTGCAAATTATTATGAATTCCTGCTAAAAACGGATGTATTGGCAGCTACTAGATATGCTATTTTGTTTATAGATCAAAATACTTTAACGTCGATGATGTACACGTTGTTGAGGTTAAATCAGATATCCACAATATTTTACACAAACAAAAATGTACTAATAGTTAAAATTTAATCATATTGGCAATATTAAATGTAAAATAAAACGTTTTACTGTGATTGAATATAAAATTGATTTGGTCTTTCTTTGGCGAAAGAATATTTTAAAAATAAAGAATAGTACGTTTTTATCAATCTAAAAATGAATTGGTAATAACCCGTTTTAATTGTACTAACATCTATCGAGAGCGGCAATTGATGTTAGTTATGCCCTGTCCCGTAGGCGAACTATGCACACACTATTGTACCCTGTCCCGTAGGCAACTACCCGCATACTACCAAAACGTCCCACAAAAAACTAAAACTTGCTACTCATGCATCAATACATTTACACTTTCTGTTTTACTCGCCTTCTTCGATCTCATAACACCTCTCAGTTCGCTTTAATTCTATTTTCCATCTATTATGATACACAATCATTTTTAAACTACCTACTTTATAGTAATCAATCAAAAGCTGAATTGAAAAAAGCATCATTAACAACTTTTTGTTTGCTTTTCCAATCATTAGATTACCACAATTTATCATTTCCACCAATTTCTTATGAAATACTCTCATTAAAACTACGTTATCCGATGCACACGCAGATTTTCTCTTCCTTTTTTCTGACACATTTTCATCCTCATAGATTGTTCTATCGTGCTTCGATCTTTTCCTCGACCAAATATAATATCTCAACTGTTTAATTTTGTCCCTCTTTGCATTCACTATTTTTACTTTGCCTAAACCTAATATCCGTCTTGCATTCTGGTTATACGTATGCTTATTCTTACACATTCTTCTATATTCTCTCCTCGCTTCATTATAATTCGGACGCATGTATCTTCTTTCGCCATTTATACCAAACATGACTATTTCTAGTAACCATTTCACTAAAATGCTGCTCAAGTAATCCATTAAATTTCTCATTGTTTATATGAATTCTCACTGCTTTTATACTTTTACACTAATTTATTCTTAATCTATCACCTACTACTTGGTCAGGTTGTAGGAGGATGAACTATAAGAATAGTTAGAATAAGAAAAGATACGAAAGCTTGATTTTTGTACTCGTTAGTAGGTTGCCGCTTGATTCAAGCTTGCAAATTCCGTATAAAAGCCCAGTATTAAAATGAAATTAATATTAAAGTAGCAAATTCTATTCCTTCTACACCTTCTTAATAATGTTCTATTCTTTGTTTGCTACAAGTATCACAGATACGAATGAGGAGAAGAGAGGTCAAAAAACTTTGTTCGTTGATCAATATCATCACTGTAACATACAAATACTATAGCATGATAAACTCGTATAATGTAAAAGATGATCTTTTATCCAAACAAACTCTATTTATTTACACGGTTATGAGACATCTGGTATTTTATACTGCAGTAATTTTTAATGTTCCTACATATGATTTACTTGAGCCACTGAATATTTCTTTAACTATATATAACACTAAATAAAAATGGATTAAACAATTAAATATGCATTCTTTAAGTGGGATTATGAAATATTGAACTGAGAAATAGAATTTGCACACATCAAAGTGAAGAATATGGATAGATAAAATCATGTCTGATATATACAGTTCTTAACATGTTTTTTATGGTAGGCCTTATGCTCTTGATCTCCTTTTCACAAAAACTAAAGTTAAAAAATTACAAAGAATCAAGTAGAAATGATGAAAAAGAAACAGAAAAATGTGCCTAATAAAGTATAATATATGCGAATTTATTAGAATATGAGCAAAACATCATAAGTCACTCGATGGAAGGATGTAATAGCATTAATAAATTTTAATGAGTTTGTTGGATATACTATTCTGCTTATAAAACAGAAAACAGGTTATGATATTTCTAATACGTTCGTTACCTTAAGTCACTATGTAATTTAAGCCGTTCTTTAACGAATTGCGTTTTTCTGTAGAGTTAGAAAATTACTTTTTAGCTGAGATTGTTAGTGTTCTCTAATATTGTAAAATACTGCTGCGCAGATTTTAGCAACTTAACTAAACCATGTTAATTTTTATTTGTTACCAAAACGTGGAATGAAATTTTTTGATTATTCTCGAGTTGACCAATCGGCTTGCAAGTTGCCTTTTTATTAATACTGGTTGATGATGATTGTTAATATTTTTTGTATTGAAGGAGCGCTACTTAGAAACCCGCCGACTAAACTATCTGTTAATATATAACAATGAGTATTACTTTTAACTGAACCGTGGAAATATTTTTTAGTATTCGCACAGCTGTTTCAATTCGTGAATTACAATAATAAGTACTAAGTGTACACAATTTACTCAGTTAACCATATGACACAATATCTTTTCTTTTTTCACCAATAGCACTATTTTATCTTCCCTGTACTTGATGATCCGGTGATCGACAAATTCTCCAAGTAATTGATAAATGGTTTTAGTATTGGTTATAAACAATTCCTTTTTTGCTACATTCAACAACTCTGTAATGAGAGCAAAATTATTTTCACACAAATTGATGAAAATTTTAAGAAGATTTCTGCTACGCTTTGGAACATTGTTGAGCAAGTTTTTTAAGTCTGCCTCTCCCTTATCTACCTCAAACACGTTTTCATAAGGCACATATGTGGTTAAGTCCTTCATTATAAAGTTAAAATCTTCTAAGTCTTCATCGCAAAAATTGATTGCAGTGGGATCCATAGTATCAAGAACGCAGACAACGTTATTCTTTGGGAACTTTTCTGGATCCGTACTCGTTAAATCGAATTTAAAGATAATATTGATTTTACTCTTGGAGAGAGTTGCAGGATATGCATTTATGAAATTCGCGTTTGGAAACATTTCTCTCAGAAGGACTGATTTATCGCCATACCCGTAGAAAAGAATATTAAAGGTTTTGAGAAATGTTAAATACTCAGGCACACAGCTAATATGAAAATCTTTCAATTTTTTTTTCATGGGGACGGTAAAATGGCAAAGATTTACAAGCAGTAAGAAGCTATCAATTGTGAAAGGCTATGCTAATAATTCAATTTTATTTTTGTTTTTTGGTAGATAACGTTGTTGATACCAACATAAGATGTGCTAAACATAGAGTTCATGGTATAAACGAGTTGATTATGACGGTGTATTTTATTGATAGCCGAATCAATTTGAAGCGAATTCTTCGTATACGCGGCTGTAAAACATTCTCTAGAGATCATATTCATATATTAGCTATTCATAATCGAACTAATAGCATGTTCTGTTCAAATAGCAAATTGTAAATGAGTAAATCATATCATACACAAAAGATTGGAAACATCAATTTAACGCCTTAAAACATTGTAGATACTATTAAGCAAGAGTATAAGATCATGTATAAAAATCAAGTGTTTATTAAATTACAAATAATTTAAAAAAATATTTTAGTTTCGTATACCACCTTGCCTGCGATGACTATTCGTTTAGATGTGTCATCGCAGAACAACTCGACCTGCGTGCCGTCTATTCGTTTCAATAATTCGCGTAGTGTTTCAAAGAAAATGTCAAATTTTAGCTCTTCATCAAAACATATCACTTTTAAATGCACCGTTTTGTTATAAAGCAAGCTTAGCAGGTACTTAACCAAAAATCGGTGGTCGAATTTGAAATGCTGACTGAATGGATGTTCAACTTCGACATGTATGTTCGTGCGCTGAGACACGTCGCTGATAACAGACGGTGGTGGAGGATACAGTAAAGGAATATTCATAGGTTTTTTAATCTCCTTTTCTTCGTCAAATGTAATTTCAAGGGTCAAAAGATTGTGATTCGTGTTGTGAATGCGAAATTGCCCATTCTCGACATGAAATTCCATACCCGGGGCAAATATTGCAGCACAAATTTTAAACGATGTAATGGTAATATCTAAAGAAAACAAAAGGTTTAATGTGTTAACAATTTTCGTGATTCTTTTCGAAATAAAACAGTGTATAAAAACGTAAAATTTAGAGTCAACCATTTAGAACTACATTTACTATGGCGATAACTCGATGTATAGCAGAATATTGGTAATTGGTATATATCAGTATTTAATTCCGAAAGTGATGACGGGGAATTAGCTCAGTGGTAGAGCGTTTGCTTCGCAAGTAAAAGGTCTCGAGTTCAAACCTCGAATTCTCCACATTTTTTGGAGGTTTTCATGTTTTTCAGTCTTTCGATGGATCGATCGCGTTCCTTGTTATACGACCAGAAACAACTTATTTTACAAGTAATGCAACTCTCTCTGTGTTTATCACCTATTTTTATCACTACAATGTTATTGAGTCGTCGATGGTACGATGCAAGTCTCTTCAGAAACGGTCACTCAACCTCATCAACCACAGGACTAAATATCGATTTAATTTTTCTCATGTGCTAATAACCAATACAAAGCACACATTTTTGTTTTCGCTAAAATTCTGGTCCCTTAGCGAAATGGAACGTGAGAACGACGCGCTGACGGCTATAAAAGAAAAAATGAAGGACGCCGTTTTCAGAGATAAAGAGCTTAACAGACACGGCAAACCAGCACTAAATAGACTAGATAATTTGGATGGGTGCATACGAGCTCTCTATTCGCTGCGCAACGATATCGACACCGAGACATTTCTGATTTTGAAAGAGTGGCTTGAACCGCTTCCCGACAACACGTTGCCAAATATCGAAATCAAAAGTGAAATTTTGTCCTTTCTTCTCAAGACTAGCGTTACGAGAGACCAACTGGTTGAGAGCGAAATAGGCAAAATTGTATATTTTTACAGCTTAAACAATCATGAAACCAGTGAGATCAGAAATTTGAGCAAGCAGCTTGTCAAGAAATGGACGATGGTAGCCGTGCAAGAACAAAATGAGTAGTTTAAAGCACTTTTTTTACGAAATAATGTGTTTGTATTATAACATACACTATTTTATCTTTATTTCTATTTTTTAGTTTGTCGAAGAATACGATGTTATACAAGAGGCTACTTATCACACATTTCATCGATTTGCAAACAAAGAAGATGATCATTTCTGTAAATTGTCCATGATTCACCGCAAACGTTGAAATTGTCGTGTAGTTAAAACCACTGTTTGCAACAGGATAGCTTATACGTTATTCAACAGTGATAAATACGTAACTTATAAGTGTTGTACAACGAAAATTTAGAAAAAATACGTTTAACTGGTTGTGATCGTATGTTTAATTACCTCTAACGGACAAGCTACGAGCGTAACTATCGGTTACACCCCCTTCTTGTAACATATATTGATCAAATACATGTTGCTATATTGTTTTACTTTGTATCTTTTACTACTCGTTTGTTTTCTCACATAATAATTAACTTCATTCGTATCAGGGCTCACACACAACGATGCATTTATTTGTATCGCTGTATTCGACAGCTTAAATTTATTTCCTAACCGATAAAAAAATAATAACTAATGATAATATACGATAGCTCACTTTGTCAGAAATACCGTGTTTGAAAGTTTTGTAACAAACGACCTGATGTACGTCTCAATAAGTCGTGTTATTACTTTCTAACCGATAAAAAAATAATAACTAATGATAATATACGATTTGTCAAACTGCACCTATTAAATACCACGTATTCTCTTTCAATTGCTAAACTTGTTCCGCTGGTATGAGCTGTGGTAGGAACAATTTACCTAATTAGATATTTACTTGCATTTTCTTAAAATATATTTTCTAGAGATATCATTTGTTTTTATTCTTCTATAGGAATGTACGTGATTGGTCTGTACAAGAACTGAATAATTTTATTTCGTAAACAGAAGTGTTTGATTCATCATTTTGGTTTTGTAACAAATAAAAAATAAATAATAAAAAAATCAAATTGCCCCTGATGGTAGTCGATGCTTTCTTTACGTATCTTCCCCTGGTCCTGTGCATATATCATTTAAGAGGATTGACGAGAAGAAGCGTTTATCATTCGAATCAGATTATACGAATCGCGCTTTGTTTTATTGTTTCTAACATTTTAAAGCTCTACTTCAGAATGGATAGACCCGGCGATGTCAACCGAGGATACATAAGGGGAATCGTAGACAACGGCATTTATATATTTACTTCAAACTACGCATTTCCTAGTACACACTCTGTGTTCTACACCCAGTATTTTATGTACAACATGTCTGTTTTCACGTTCCTAATAGGGCTGTTCGGTATATTCACCCGTGTATTTTACAACCATCATACGCCACAACAGGTGTTTTTTGGACTATGTTTCGCCCTGTTCATGGAAATATCGCTTCTGAATCGGTTCAAACTCAGAAAAAAAATCTGTTATTGAACGTAACTGGATAAGATACAAAATGAAGCAGAACAAAGACTACAGTGCCAAGATGTTTAAAACAATGAGTTTTTGGTCCAAAAACAAAATATAGATAATCTATTTAGCAATAATTTAAGTATAAATAAACGAGTATATCATTTGAGATTTTCTTCAATAAATTACGTCTGTAAAGTTTGAGATTGCTTAACGACTTAGATGGTGGGGGCAAATTTTCCGTTTCCTAGCGTTCTGCACATTTTTTTATTAAAAGTTAGTTTAATTATCATCTTATAACATATCATCTAGCTGCGCTCTGCACATCTTTGAGCTATTTTATATCGGTGATTCTGGTACATTTTCATAGCGAAATGAATGGGAAGATGGCGCCTTATTCTAAGAGAAAAGTTTACATGTATTTCTGAAGAATTTTGATTTTGTTTGCCTTAAACATACATACTTTCATTTTGCAAGTGATAGATACAACTTAAATTTTGTAATTCATCATTGTGCGGTATTTTTAGAAAATTTTACATACTTTTCAGGTTTATCCTGGCAAATGTCTAAGTAGTAATTCATCCGATCTCTGTCATCCATTTATTTTCTATAACGGACAATGCAGTTATTTTCTAGATCTTCTTCATTACACAATGTTCGTTGTTTAGTTTAACTCTTGAAATTGGTGTAGAAGATTCTGTTTATTTCAAAAAATCTAATTCATTGTAACATTGTGCTATTCCCCTAATTCTTTCGGTAAATCTCAGATTTCATTTTAAAGATTATGTTTATTGTCCCTTTGATATTATAGTTTCCGAGTAACCGCGTGATGTGTCAAAATTATAATTACAATTGTTTCCCACAATATTTATTATTAACTATTTGTAATATTTCATTCATAAAAAGGAAATATAAATTAGCATGCAGTCGATGATGTTTATTCTTTTTTTGTTCTAAATTTATTTTAAGTCAACCACTTTAGCTCGGTGTGTATCTTCGAAAAGGTTAGGGAATTAATTTTCTATCGGCGTCCATAATTTGTCTAAATAATATCAATCACAAATGGTTTCTAAGCGAGTTTAAGAACATAAGAATTGCATAGTAACATATAGCCTTTAATTGTGTAGCAAAATTTGGAAAGAAAACTTCTAATTTTTTTTGCGAACTTACCAATCTTCTTGTGAGTTGTATTTTTATTACTACGAAAATACTTCAACATCGCGTACGTATTTACTATATTTTAGTCTAAATTCACATCATAAAATTACTTTTCTCAATAAACCAACCATAAAAAGATAAAAAATAGTTTAATCATAACAGATCGAGATTCAACACGTCTTAACTGCGGATAATAATTGCTAACTTTGTAATTTCTTGAACTAAAAATCTTTTCATCTCAAAGTCGCTCGATTTGGCGATGGGCCTTCGAGATATACAGGAACAAATGATAGAGGGTTTCACAGAAAATCAAAATAAGCGCTTTATGTTAACTTATTGTTTAGTCAAAGTTCCCGTTTATTTGTGACAAGTGATCTTTGATTATGTTAGAACTATAATCAGAAAACTACGTAAAAGATGAAGAAAGTAATAATTGGACATACTTTTGTGGAAAAAAACTGGTATCACAACTTATCAGAGATTGGTTCAAACCTCTATTGAAACGAAGTATTGTTCAATTTCAGTATCGTTATTACTGCACGATTTGTTGTGCTATGGATTAGTTGTTGAACGATAAAAACTAGCCACATCG